TGTTCACTTCGTGCCGAAAAGGCCCTTTTCATTTACTCGTTTACTTGTCAACGAAAAAGACACAGTTTCACCACTCGTTGAACGTAACATCACTGTTAGAAAAAAAATCCCTTTATATTTTTGCATAAAAAATTGATTTCATGGACAGTTGACTAGTAATTTTCAGTACAATTCCACTAAATGCAATTTAAGGGGAAAAAATAATGAAATTTCAGATTTCCCTGAAAATTCAATAAAATTCCAAAATTTTTAGAAGCACGAAGTCGAGAATTCTCCAATTTTATTGAATTTTCCTTGAAAACTTTAATATTCAGTGCCAATTTACCCTGAATTTCCCAATAATTGAAAATTGAAAAATATGTTTCTCGGAATTTTCTGGTTTTCTATTAATTTCCACAGAATAATTAAACTCAAATTTACAGTTCTCATCGATTTTTCTCTGAAATTTTCAATGCCGAAATTCCTTGAAATTTCAGTGAAACTTAAAAGTGATAAAAATTTCCGAAAGGGGTACTGGAAATTTCAGCTAAAAATTAGTAACAGTGATCACTGCCAATAAATAAATCAAATAAATAAAAAAAAATTCACTCGTATCGAAATATACTATTTTCATATGTTCTTCTGAAATCACTCGATACGAAGATAATTTAACAATCAGAAAAATGGGAAGGATGCCATCTTCATTTTCCGGATAAAGTATAAAGTATCTTGTTTTGTGGCTGACGAAATTCCCAACAAAAAATGTCTTGATAGTTTCCACTGAAAATGAGTTGAAACAGTTTTTGTTTGTTATAAAATTCTTCTTGGAAGAATTGATTTCAGGAGGGAATGTCAAGAACACCTTTTATAGCTGATGCAATTCTAAAAAAATGTATCACGACATTTTCCCCTGAATTTACTCATTGTGGAAATAATTGTTCAACTCATTATGATATGACGAAAAACTTCTTCTGTTCCACGAATCACATTGTTTTCTCGTTAGGCAATTATATCATTAACGAATGATTTAAAAATATTTGCCGTTGATGAAATTGTAACGAAAAAATGTATTTTCACTTTTCCCCTAGATCAATTTCTCCTCGAGATAATTTCCCACTCAATACCACGTGGAAAATACAGTTGTTTTATTCGAATGGAGTTAAATTTTATAGCTGACTAAGTGCATAATCATCTCGATAATTAGTTACTTCAGAAAAAAAGTCAAAAGACCTCTTTTATAACTGGAAAAATTTCCAATAAAAAATGTTTCTTCACATTCTCTCAAAAAATTCGTCTTCATCGTTTAAATCCCACATCAAACAACATGTAAAAAAGCCTTTCTGTTTTACTGAAACACATTCAAATTTTCAATTTTCTTAATTACGCAATTATTTCAGCAGCGAGTGATTTCAGGCGGAAATATTACAAGACCGCTCCCGCTGGGAGAATTTCCCATGGAAAATCCGCCTTTCACATCTCCCCCTCAAAGTCGCAGGTTATCAACATAATAAAATATTCATCAACATATGAAAAATCAGCTTATTCTATTCTACTACGTTTCACTTAATCGCTGATAAACGCCAGAGGCTCTTTGGACTCGAGTCAAAAGGACAAAATCGACTATACGAAGGGGCAGTGGACAGTGGAATTAGCGTTCAAGGCGATGGCCCACGGTTGTTTCATTGTTTCGAAACGTGACACACGATATTTTTCGTTTTTTTTTCTTCACCACAGAAAACCCGGAAATGTCGTTACATTTGAATACACGTGGTGCTTAGATTTCAATCTTCAGTACGCACAGTAATTGATATTGCCTGTTACACAATCCAATAGATCATTCAGACTTCAGGGTCATTCGATTATTACGTCACACATTTTTGGATGTTTTAGACCCCCCCCCCTTCCCCGGTCGCAAGGCATCACAAACACGAGTCCCCATGAATATGGGAGAATTCGGTAAAATAAGCAATTTAAAAAAAAATATTTACAACTCAGAAATAAATTCAACAACTGAGCTCAGTCTGGACTCCTCACAAAGAGGAAGAATTTTTCTTTGTGAGGAAAAAAAATGTTCCGGTTCATCAACCGCGCAATGAATTACTAACATTACAGAGAAAAGTCAAGTGTCCATATAACCAGTGATAGGCATATCAATCAATCATAATTACCGTTAAATTATGAAGTTGTCAATTTTTAACAGAAATCTTTAAATTTTAAATATTAAATGAACCATCAATTTGTACATTTAAGAAGATTGACAATTATTTGGGATAATCGAAAAATCAAGTATCTAAATTTAGAATTAGCTTGTTAATTAAAAATTACATTTGAAAATATCAAATATTTTATTCACCATTAATCGGAAAATTTAGTTAATAAATTTTGTAGTATTTTAAGTTTGTTAAATATAGTTAAACTTTGAACAATATAATGAGATAATCCCTTTTTAATATTGTCAAAATCTAATATTATTGCCCATCCCTGCATATAACCCGACTGGGGGAGGTATTACGTAAAAAAAATCCCTCCCGACTCCCCTGTGACGGTGACTGTTATCCCCTCACTGTGGTAGGGGTAAGTGCCAATTCTTCTCTAGGTTGCACTCACTTCTCCCTGTGATTTCGCTTCTCTAAGATTTCAATCGGAGAAGTTGATTTCCCCCACCACTAACAATCTAAGCGTGTGTGGACCCCTCTGCGCAACAGGAATGCGCAATACAACCACTGACTGTTCGTGAGGATTGGAGCAAACATATTCTCTAATTAACCATGATAATTAATTAACGAGCAATATTTTTAGTGTTTATAATTGAAAAAATTGATCATTTAAGGCCGAAACTTGAGATTAAAAAATCGAAAAAAATCATGGAAGTTCCCTGTTGTGTAATACTAATTCGCCTGATGAAAAGGCCTCGTATCACCGTTACTCGTAGAGGGGAGTGTTTACATTCTCATCCCGAACATCCCAAACCGAAATCGCAAAACAAATACATTCGGGATGCGAAAAAAAGTGAGATAAGAAATATTTCGCCCGATAAGAGCGACCATTGACATAGGTCTTGTCGATTACAAGGAAAAAAAATCTCAAACTCTCGTGCACACTTGATCCTTCACCCATCGGATTATCGTAATGAGTGATCACACAATGGGGGAAATACAAATGAAGAACGATGTTTCATGAGGCACATGTGTCGACATGTGCTTGAGGCGTGTTTCAGGTACGAAACCGTGTTGCACTCAACGCCCGTTGATTCTCCCATGAATGTGGGTCAGGTCGCGTGCAACAATCCTCATTTTTTCTCTTTGTAAATCCAAAAGGAAAGATGTTCCAAGAAAATTCTTAAAATCAATTTTTAAGAATCTGAGAAAAGTCGAAGTTTAGGGATTTTCCAGAAAATAATCAGAAAAATTGAGGAAATTTATGTTTGGAGCGTAAAGATGTTGTTGCATTTTTTTATTAATTGAGAGGGAGTTTTTTATTTGGTCAATAGTTTCATTGAATAAAAAATGGGGAAAAATTTATGATTTTGAAATTTTTTGGGGATAATTAATGAGAGAAAAATCCTCTGATGATTTCAAAGCTGTTTTCTTTAGTATTTTTGAATGAAAATGATTTTTTTTTGTTCTTATTCAATAAATCCTAGAGTAAATGAGAAGCACTGGGTGTAGCAATTCTCATTGTTTTCTCTCATGATTCCAAAGCGAAAGTTTTTCCAGGAAAATTGCAAAAACTACTTTTCAAAACTTCGAGAAATGTCTTGAACTCAGATATTTTCCAAAAAATAATCAGAATAATCAGAAAATTGAGATTTGATATGAAGTATTGATCTGAGAATTACAGGGAGGGTTGGGGCATGAAAATATTGTTTAAATCGTTTTTTTATGAATTGAGAAAGCGTTTTTGATTTGTTCAATAGTTTAATTGAACAAAAATGAGGAAAAAATTATGATTTTGCAATTTTTTTTCAATAAAAAATGAGAGAAACTTCATTTGATGTCTTTAATGTTCTTTTAGTATTTTTCGAATGAAAATTAATTCTTCGTTTCTATCAAATAGTTTGGCAAGGAGGATTGGAGTTTAAAAATCTCATTTAAAAAGTTTTTTTATAAATTGCGAGAGACATTAGAAATTATAAGAGAGACTTTATGTATCAACTTTCCGATAGAGTTATTTTCTTCCGAATTCTTCAGACCTTTTCTACATTTTAACCTTCTCTCTAACCTTGAAAAATCAATTTTCTCACAACAATACTAGCCTGCCAAAGAGCACGAACTCAACCAGAACGTTTTTATTCACATCAACTTCCGTTCAGAATTTATTTCAGACTTTCATCCTCAAATTTTAAGTTATGTTTCCCCAACTTGAAGCCTCCCAGCTGAAAATCCAATGTTCACCTCATCATTTACAAAATTGTCTAATCCCTTGACTAACTCTGCTGATGCAAATATAATATTTATAAAACTCGGAAGGGAGTGTGCGCACGTAAGGGATCGTTGCGAGCCGATATTAGGATGGGCAAATACACGTACAGTATTGCACAAGCTCACGCGAATTTCACGAGTGCCTTCAGTACACAAAGGGGGGGAAAAAAAAAGTCGTGACCATATGTACAATACCAGAGGGAGTTATGTCTCAAGAGGGCCCCCCGTCCTTGAGTAATGCCTCAAACCCAACAACTCCATTTACCTAAAACCCTGCCCCTCCGACTGACTAATTGTCCATTACCGGATGAATAACGCATAAGACAGTCATGCAAATGGCTCGAAAAAAGCGTGACAACGGCTGAGCAATAGTTTCCGAGTAAAATCCGTGATTTTTCATATCAAAATAAGGCTGGCAATATGGTGTCCCGTATCGAGTTCCTGCACTTTCACGTCGGATTCCCTTTTTTTTTCTCTCATTCTATTTATTCTACTCGTGTCGCAGCCTCTCCCGACAGCTCCAATAATGCCCCCGTGAGGTGCTGACTTCCGAGGGGCAAAATGCGACGCGAAGGTCGAGGGTATAAATAATAAACTCACCGATTCAATAATACCAGACGAAAGAAGCACGATCCACCGAGCTCGGAGTCAATTCTCTTGGGTCAAATAATCCCCGTTGGCTCCATGGCCCCACGGTTATTTCACCGTCTGTCAGTACACGATTATTTATCACGAATTTGACAATTATTTGAAGCTACACTGGTATTTTTTTCGCGAGGAATTACCACGAATGGCGAGCGTTCATGCTTCGTGCGCCCAATGATAAGTCGAGTGAGTGAGGACAAAGCACGACCTACGAAACACTCCTTCGTTGTGATACCAATGAAGGTCTGTTGCCAACTGACCCAGCCGCTGTGACAGCTCTCTGCGGGAGAACATCTACCAGTTGATGGGGAATAAATGTCCCTAGGGGAGGGAATTTTTCCGGGGGTCGGGGGATTTTCCGAGGATTAAAAGGCTTTTGAGAGCTTAAACCTCTTGGTTTTTTTTAATTGAAGGGCGGAGGGAGGGGATTTAATTGGCGTGGGGGGAATTGAACGGTCCTTTGGGTCCGGAGGTTTTTTTAAAATCTGGGGATTTTCGGCGCTAGGTTGGGAGCAGCATCGATCATACGGCAATCAGCTGTGCTCTATTTAGCGAATGGCTGTTGCCATTGGCTCGCGGTGAACATATGAATTACATATCAATTTGGTTTATGAATGCAATTATTGGGGATTCGGGGGGAGCGGTAATTAAGGGGGCAACGGAGGGCGCTCGATCGATTGTCTGTTTGGATAGGAAATGTGGGGATTTATCGTCAAGTGAAAACGGATTTTTTCGGTTTTTATGGGGTGACGCTTTTGGTTTGTGGGAGGCCAGGGTTGTGGGACAGTTCATCCCCGAAATTTTTGGCTCTGGGAGAGTTCATCTCGGTGTTTTTCAGTATCGTTTCATCCTATACTAATTTTATTTCAGCCTCATTATTATGAAATATGATGTTTATTGAGACATTATGAAAATTAATACAAATGGAAAACACCACTAAATATATTTTATTAAAATCACCTTATATGCTGTCAGGCGTTTTGAACGCAACAAAGAAATCAAAGACAAAACTTGTTCATTTTTTTGTCAGTCACTTTATAATTGAATAATATTATACAATATGAAAAATCATGTTTATTGAGATATTATGTTCTTTGAAAGAACAATCGGTTGAATACAGCAATACCAGCAATTTGAAAAAAAAAGAAAATTAATACATGAAAAATTGCCAATGAAAAATAATATTTATCGTTAAGTGGAGATGGATTTTATTATTATTTCATCCTAGACCAATTTTATTTCATCATTATCATGAAATATTATGAAAAATCATGTTTATTGAGACCTTATGTTCTTCGAAAAAACAATCGGTTGTATACAGCAATACCAGCAATTTAAAAAAAACGCAAAATTAATATATAAATAATTGCCAATGGAAAATAATACAAACAGAAAACAACACCTTTAACTCGTCAGAGTAAATTTCAGTAGCGAAGTGGTTTTACGGTATGTCATTTTTGACTATTGACCAGTTTTTAATGAATACCTCGGAATCTAAGGGAAATAGCAAAATTTTTGTTATAACCATTTTTGTAGAGCCGATTGAGAGCTACAACAAATGTAATTATGAAAATTTCGCTATCTCCCTTCGATTCGGAAATATTCCTCAAAAACTCAACTGGAAGATGAGTCGACTTAAACCGTTTTACCACTTCGATACTGATTTATATCTGGAGTAAATTTATTTACTCTCATACGTCTTAAACACAACAGACAAATCAAAGGCAAAAATCGTTTATTAATTTTTTCATCAGTCACTTTATATTATTAAATAACACAATATATTTCATTTGTATTCAACGGAGTTTTCTAAATTTTTCAAACATACTGCAGTTGTCAAAACAGGGGAAGGATATTATTCAATCAAAAAATGAATAAAGAAACGAATAATTGATGAGAAAAATGATTAAAATGCGGAAGATAGTACGTGAGAATGGAATTAATTATTCGAGAATGAAATAGTTGAGATGGGATGTTCTAGGATCAAATGGCCCTGGATAAAGATGAGATGAGCTGTCATGGAACCGTCTCAGCCCCAGTTGCACCAGCTTCGGTTAACTAAATCGTTAGTTGACAGAAAATGTAAATTTAGAAGTTGGATGGATTATTTTACCAAATGGCGTCTCTAAAATTTATCCCAGGATGAAAAAGAACAAATTATTCCCAGGGACAAATCTTGGTAACTCAAATGGGGCGATAGGATGAATAAAAAATTATTCTTCCGGTTAAATATTAAAAAATTATGATCTCCCGGATATAATTCACCTCGAGAATAAATTTTACCCTAGAATTTATTTGCTAAAAAGGCTAAAAAATGATTCTGCAATTTGTTAGACACAATCAGTAAAAAAAACACTGACAGGTTTAATATAATTGGCTCCAGTATTTTTAAATCAAAATTAATTGTTCTCCATTCTTATTCAACAAATATTAAAGTGAATAAGAGGCGAGAGATGAGTCTGAATTTTAAACTCATGGCAGTCAATGTTGAATTAATTATTTTCAACTATTTATTCGTTGCAATTGACACATAGAATTGCTAGCTAGGGGAATGGTAGTTAAGTGGATAATATAGAGTTGTTCAATTGATTATTTATTTACAAATGAACACTTGTGTGGATTTATTATCAAGCGTCGATCTGAGAGTTACAGGGAGTGCAAGAGCTTAGAAATATTGTTTAAAATTTTTTTTCATCAATTGAGAGATCGGCGAGTGGCAAGATTGTTACTTCTTTCCGGATTTCTTGATTCCACCGGTGACGAGAGGGCCCTTTTGGCCTGCCTTCTTGGCCGCCTCTGCCATGGCCTTCTGCTGCTCCTTCTGTTTTTGTTTGAACGCCACGTCGTCATCGTCGAGCTCTTTTGATTCCTTCTTGGGGGCCTTCAGGGGCTTCTTCTTCCCACCCTCGCGGCCTGACATTCTGAAAATTATATTGTCGCTTGTTTATTCAGGGTTTGGATAACGAAGTTGATATCAATTCCGTGACAATTCAGGAATGCTGTGAGTAATCGGGAGAAAAATGTGAGGGAGGGAAATTTGATATGATTTGGAGAAAACTTTTATGTCACGTTTGACATGTGCTACAATCTCTGAATATTTGCGATTAAAATGGTAGGGAGAGTAAGGTTGAATTGACTATTTTCATTTTTGAGAAAATACTAATGACTCATTCAATTTTTGAGGGAATGGGATAGATTCTGAAATGTGTCTAGACAGTTGAATTGATGAATTGGTTTCCGAATTATAAATATTTTTAATGAATTAATAAGTATCATACGATTTGGAAAAAAATTGTCACGTATCACATGACATATACGAACTCGAGAAACTTGAGATTATTCGGAATATTCGCGATTAAAATAGTAGCGGAGAGCGAGGTTGAATTAATTATTTTCACTTTTGGAAAAATACTAATGACTCATTCAATTTTTGAGGGAATAGGAGATTCTGAAATGAGTCTAGACAGTTGAATTGATGAATTGGTTTTCGAATTATAAATATCTTTAATGAATTAATAAGTATCATCTGATTTGGAAAAAAATTGTCACGTATCACATGACATATACGAACTCGAGAAACTTGAGATTATTCGGAATATTCGCGATTAAAATAGTAGCGGAGAGCGAGGTTGAATTAATTATTTTCACTTTTGGAAAAATACTAATGACTCATTCAATTTTTGAGAGAATGGGATAGATTCTGAAATGAGTCTAGACAGTTGAATTAATGAATTGGTTTCAGAGTTCTAAATATTTTTAATGAATTAATAAGTATCATACGATTTGGAAAAAAATTGTCACGTATCACATGAAATATGCGAACTCGAGAAACTTGAGATTATTCTGAATATTCGCGATTAAAATAGTAGCGGAAAGCAAGGTTGAATTAATTATTTTTACTTTTGCAAAAATACTAATGACTCATTCAATTTTTGAGGGAGTGGGATAGATTCTGAAATGTGTCTAGACAGTTGAATTGATGAATTGGTTTCCGAATTATAAATATTTTTAATGAATTAATAAGTATCATACGATTTGGAAAAAAATTGTCACGTATCACATGAAATATGCGAACTCGAGAAACTTGAGATTATTCTGAATATTCGCGATTAAAATAGCAGCGGAGAGCGAGGTTGAATTAATTATTTTTACTTTTGCAAAAATACTAATGACTCATTCAATTTTTGAGGGAGTGGGATAGATTCTGAAATGTGTCTAGACAGTTGAATTGATGAATTGGTTTCCGAATTATAAATATTTTTAATGAATTAATAAGTATCATACGATTTGGAAAAAAATTGTCACGTATCACATGAAATATGCGAACTCGAGAAACTTGAGATTATTCTGAATATTCGCGATTAAAATAGTAGCGGAGAGCAAGGTTGAATTAATTATTTTTACTTTTGCAAAAATACTAATGACTCATTCAATTTTTGAGGGAATGGGAGATTCTGAAATGAGTCTAGACAGTTGAATTGATGAATTGGTTTCCGAATTATAAATATTTTTAATGAATTAATAAGTATCCTACGATTTGGGAAAAAATTGTCACGTATCACATGAAATATGCGAACTCGAGAAACTTGAGATCATTCTGAATATTCGCGATTAAAATAGTAGCGGAGAGCGAGGTTGAATTAATTATTTTCACTTTTGGAAAAATACTAATGACTCATTAAATTTTTGGTGGAATGGGATAGATTTTTTGCATTACTAGAAAATTTCTTTCTCAACTCTTTCAATTTAATTGATGAATTGATTTCTAAGTTATAAATACTTTTAACAAATTAATGAGTATCATATGATTTGGAAAAAAATATTATCACGTATCACATGTGAATATTTTGGATTAAAATAGTAGCGGAGAGCAAGGTTGGTTAAACTTTTTCCACTTTTAGAAGAATATTAATGACTCATTCAATTTTCAATGAAATGTGATAGAATTTCTTTACCATCAACAGTATACTTCTTTCTCTTTGAAATGAGTCCAGACGGTCTAGACGGCTCAATTAATCAATCAATTTCTGAGTTAGAAATAATTTTAATAAATTAATATCATATGATTTGGAAAAAACTTCTGGCTCGTATCACATGTATTACAATCTCTGTATATTTGCGATTAGAATAGTAGACGAGAGATGTAAAAGAAACACATAAACTCATTCCATTTTCGATTAAATAGAACATATTTTTTCCATTAAACCGCAGTTCTTTTCCCCTTGAAATGAGTCTAGACAGCTCAATTTATGAATTGATTTCTGAGATATAAATATTCTTTATAAATTCACAAATGTTAATATTACCCTTCCCCCCTGGTTGTTATCAAAGAAAATGGTGAAAATCACAAGATTTCTGCCTGCATGTTTCCCAAAATGATCTACTAGTCGTTTTTACTTCGAAATGCGAGAAAATATTCTCGCCATCACTATTAATTTTTATGAAGTTAAATGCATCGCCTAGTTTCGTAATTTCATAAAAAGCCATTCAGACGGAATTCTTGCAACACCTCGAATTCCATCCGATTAGTTAATCCCTGCCTTCAGACATTTCTTTTGCAATAATTTCCACGTGTAGTAAATGAACACGCGCATGTGTTCATGACAAAGAAATTCTAGGTTAACTACAACGATAGACGTCAGATTAGTATTTTTTCAAGTAACATTTTTAAACCTCCAATATTGTTATTCAGGAATTAACAATTCAAAAATTCCCATGCGATTTTTAGAACGAGATTTGTTGAAACTTGAAAGTGAATTTGAATGGAATCGAATTTCCTGAAAATAAATCTAGGTTACGTGCAACGACAGACGTCACATTCACATTTTTACAGACAATTTTTTGAATTCTTAATGTTCTTCATTTATTTATTAAAAACGGAGAAACTTACTTGAGACTATTCGAATGAAATTTATTTAATCTTCAGTCAGAATTTAAGAAAAATGAAATGTTTGATCAGTTAAGAATCCTTGGAGCAGTAGTTAATTTTCGTTTGAAGATAGCCGCGAGGGGGCGCGGGAAATTTGTCATTGTTTCCCCTAGATATCCCTAGACGGTGAACGCGCCGGTCGTTTAGTGCGCGGGCGCAAGGCCTTTGTGTAGTGAGCCAAAATGGCGATTTGGCGGGCGTCGAACGGTGATAGTCGCCACGAGCCGGTATAAACAATGGAATCGTTTAAAAATCGTGGACTGAAGTGTGATATATTGATGTGTGACAAGTGACAGTGGGTTTTGTGATACAGTGAGTGGACATTCGGGGAGGTGAAAACGTTTTGGAGAGGCGAAAGGTGAGTCTCAATGCTGTAGCCATTGGAGGCAGTGTTAAATTCTTTGTTTTTGATTATTTATTGTTGGACATTGACTGATTTAATTCTGCAGTGGGTTTTTCGGGGATGGAGAGTATTCCCAGAGGCGTTCGCCATCATTTTCACTTGATTTGCATGACCTTTGACTATTTCATGCTTGTCATGGAGAAAAAGTTTACAAGGAATGATGATTTTACAACTTTTCCTACGGGAGAAGTAGAACAAATTTATTTGGCAATTTGGCAATTTTTGTTTTTAGTAGGGGAGGGTAGGGTAAAATGGACACTTTAGACTTTTTTAAAATTATTCATAACTCAGAAACAAATGCATCAATAGAGCTCAGTTGAGGCTCATCACAAAGGGAAAGAATTGCTCTTTGTATTGAAAAAAAAAAGATTGAATTTCATCAACATTTCAACTCGTCACTAATATTTTTAAAAAAGTCAAGAGTGTCCACTTTACCCCAACGTCCCCTATTCTTTTTAAGAAAAATAGGTTTTGAATAATTTATTACATAAGTGGCGAGGCATAGGCCTGGATGTTTTAGCTGTTGAAGTGGAATTCTTGATCGATGAGTTGATTTTTAACTTATTTTTTTTTAGAATATTAGGGTAAATAGGTCAATTTCTGGACACGGGTTAGTTTCTGGACGATGTCTACTTTTATTGAATATTCCATGAGTAATCACATGAAAATTGTACTGATTATTTCAGTTTTCAATAATATTACGTGTATAATTATGTGATTAGTTATCTTTTTTATCATCGACATTTAATAAATAAAAAAAATATGGCCAGACGTCCAGAAATTGGGTTTCGGCTGCATTCAACTATTTCTGAATTTAATTATTCTTTATTTTGGTATTTGGCTTCAAATATTTTCTTCCTGCTAATTAAAACCTTTTTGGAGGTATGGAAGCCATCATATTCCGATTTAGGTGATTCTTTTATTTTAGATCCTACCACGAAACTAGAATTTCTCTTAACCATCCAGCAATTGCCCTAATCACCCTATATAATTCCTGGAATGGAATATGGAATAATGATTTTGCAACTTCTCTTGCTGGAGAAGTAAAAAAAAATTATTTGACAGTTTTGAAATTTTTCTTTCTATTAAGAATGGGTTTTGGTCTTTTTTCTTGAATGAATGGTTTTCAACTTTGAAACCAGAGTTGTGCCAACATTGTCCAGTCGGCTCTAGGAGTCTTCCCTGGTTAAAAAATCATCCTTAGAGACATTTGCACGCCATTTTGAGACTCGCTCTTTCATTTGAGCCCAAAAAAACATTCACATCTTGTCTGACACCTCTGCTGTGAAGTTTGGTTTTCAACTTTGATTTATAATTGAAAACCAGAGTTGAAGACCAGAGTTTATAGCAGAGATGTCAGACAAGATATGAATGTTTTTTTGGGCTCAAATGGAAGAACGGGTCGAGAAATGGCGTACGCTGCTGATGCTTCTAAAGATGGTTTTGAACCATGGGAGACTCCTAGATCCCACTGTTCTATACATACTCCTAGACTCCATTATCCTCCTAGACAATGTTGTCACAACTCTGCTTTTCAATTGAAAACAGACATCATCTTTAGAGACATTTGTCATGTTTAGAGGCCCTAGCACGCTATTTCTCGACCCGCTCTTTCATTTGAGCCCAAAAAAACATTCATATCTTGTCTGACATCTCTGCTACAAACTCTGATCTTCAACTCTGGTTTCAATTGAAACCAGAAATTTCTTATTGGAATTGAATTCTTTATTTGCAAATATTTATTGACAGAAACTGAGAAACTGAAGTCCCAGCTTTTTTTTTGGGAATATCGAACAGTTGTCCCCGATTTCTCTGTTATTTCCGTAACTCTCAAATAATTCATGCTTTTAATGCCTAAAAATGGGAAAATTCATATTCTCATGAGCAAAAAATCATGATTTTAATATTTTCTTCTAGCATTCATTGCATTGAAATGAATACTATATTAATTGTGTTCATCTAAATTATTCATTTGCGTCGATTGAAAATCATTGAAATGATTCGAAATAATGCTACAGTGGCGCTACCACGAAATTCCCCAGCTCTTGGAGATACGTCGGCAACGTCGGCAAGCCACCAAAATGGCGTCCTCCCAAAAAAATCACACATCGTGTCCCTGTCTTGCTCGTTACCCCCAAAAAATAAAGGATTAACGGCTTTCTACGACAGTTTACGAACGTCTCCAAGAAACCAATCGCCCAATTATCAAACGAAAACACCGAATAACCACATTTCTTCCACCGCGAGTCGCATTAATCATGTACCATCGCGAAAGTGTTCACGATAGAAACCAATAAGACTGGGAATTTTATAATTTTATGATTAACCTCCCTCTTCGTCCAGAAGTCAACAACTTCCAACGTTTTTACTCAGTGCTGTTCGTTTATTTCGTTTGACGTGTTATCAATTGAATTATTACTTACATATTGTACAGAAGGTAAGTGTCACTATCAAGTTTTAGTAGAGGAAAAAGATCCCAAGTTAGTGGTTGAACAGTCGAGGTGGAAAATTGTTGTCACAATTTTTTTTAGATAGAATCGCAATTATAATTTGATAACTATTTTTATTTATTCTTACTCAACTCGTTGAAGGAAAATCGATGTTGAAACATTTTTAAGGCTCAAATCTTCCTTATTTCTGAAAAAATAATCCTTTCCAGAAATCATTCAGCAACGAAGAGGTCGATTTAGCCCCCAGCTGAGTTTTCGAGGAATGTCTCCGAATCTAAGGGAGATAGCGAAATTTTCATTATAACCATTTCTGTAGAGCGAATTGAGGGCTACAAAAAAGGTCATAAGAAAAATTTTGCTATCTCCCTTAGATATCGAGATATTCATGCAAAACTGACGAATAAAATGGCTACGAACCGTTTTATCGCTTCGCTACTGAAATTCTGTTAAAAATTATTCCTTTTTTCAATCGACATCATATTTTCGGCATCTTTGATGGTAAAAAGATATTGATTTTTCCACTTACATAAAAAAAGTGACCCACAGAGTCCCAACAATTTCTCCCCCAGTGCAAAAGCCCTTGACCCCCTCCAAAAGCTAAAATCTCCCCTTCACCAATTCTAGGCCTTGAAAAACGATTCAAGATGCCAACCCACCCGAAGTACCGTAACCTGAAGCGTCCAAAAGTGGTTGCAAAGAGAAACCTGAAGCTTCGTGACTACAAAAAGAGTTCAGGCGCCCTGATCTGCAAGAAATTGCAAACCAACAACAAAGCCCTGGCCCAGGCCCTCTCAAAGCAGAAAGAAGAGACCCAACAGTTGACCCTCGACAACCTGGAGCTGACCCGCCAGCTGAACGAGACAAATCACCAGAAGAGAAGACACATGGAGGCCTTCTCCATAATCCTCAAGAACTCCCGCGAGGCCATGAACCTGATGGTTAAAGCGACAGAGCAGGTGGTCAGTGCAATATCCACCTGCAACACACTCCTCCACCCAGAGAGTGGCAATCCCCCTCGACCCTCGAGCACCAGAGACCCCAATCGTCGTGTCTCGACAAAATCCCCCAACAAATCCCCAGCAAGAGGTGTCGTCCAGCCGATGGTCAGTGGTCACGCAATAGCTCAGCCAGCAATAGCCCTGAGTAGAATCAGAATAGTGTCAATGCCACCAAATGTCAGTGACATTGAGGAGACAACGGAATCCCCAGGCACCCCAACGAGGCCAGTATCGAGGATGCCAGCGAGTCGTAACAGAGCCCTGAACCGAGGTATTCCCCCAATGATGCCCCAGAGAATCCGAGTGAGCTCCCCTAGGGACGAGACTCTCCCCCCCGACGACAGACGACTCTCCAACATCAGCAGACGCTCCAGCAGATACCAAAAACGAAAGTCAAGGACTTCGAGACACTCTGATCTAGAGCCACGAGACAGTATTAATCAGATTGAAACGACGATGAGGACACCCAGAGTTTCACTGGAGGATGTCTCCAGACTGATGCACAACTCCCACAGCATCAATGTGAGGAGTCTGATGGATATTGAGGAGGGGTCGGGGTTTCAGGGCTCTCCAGAGGCTGGTGATAATCAGAGCGAGGAATTCGGTGTGCCAACTTCTTCGGGGGAAGTGTCTGCGGGGGAGGTGTCTCCAGGGGCGCCAGTGTCGTCAGAGTCACCAACATCTTCGCCAGTTTCAAGGACATCCTCTCCTACTTATCAGCTGGATCATCGAGCGAGGAAGGAGAGGAAGAGGAGGCATGCGAAGAAGGACAAAATGGGGGAGACGAAGCTGGAGAAATCAGTGTTCAGTCGAGTGCAGCAGAGGGTCTTTGAGGATGATCCTCTTGAGGGGACTAGCTGGAGGTACAGTAACGAGATGGGAGGGGGTTCTGAGGGGGCTGACGATGGAAATGCCAACGAGAGCAATGATCTGAGTAATGGGACGGGGAATGAGACTAATGGGACCAATCTGGAGAATTCCGATGGATCCAGGATGAATGATACGTCTTCGAGGATGTTCGATGGCTCTCTCAGGGACTCAGCGGGATTCTCGACGACTAATCGCATGTCCCTGACGATGATGAATCCCCATAATGGGTGGGAGGGGTCTGATGATGACGATGAGAGGTGTCAAGTCATTGATATTGCTGCGAGGAGGAATAGCGATGGGGAGACGACGAATTTCACAGCTGTTTTTGCGAGGAATGTCTGCACCTCCAGAGGACGAGTCGAGGATTTTGATCCTGATGAGTTTACGATGATGAGGAGGGGGAATAGACCTTTTAAGCCTTGTGTTATGGATGAGCTGGAGATGCCTGATATTCCTCCTCAGGAGTTGGAGCAGCCACTGGTGAGGGCTCCTGAGGTGATGGCTGAACCAGAGATCACGAAGACCATTCAGATTCAGGGGGTCAGTCAGCAGGTGGGGATTCAGTCAGCCACTGGGGAATTGCTGCCTAATGTTACTTTTAATACGAGTGTGACGATGCCTGTTGACACCGTTGGACGGGAGTCGGAGGATGATACGGTGGTGGTGCCCAATGGGCGGAGGAACAGGGCTGTGGTGCCCATTGTGGAGTCGTCCAGCGAGTCTGAGGCGTCGACACCTCCGAGGAAAAATAACAAGAGGACGAGCAGGACGAAGGGGAGCAAGAGGAGGGATCCCAGCTCCGCAAAGGTTGTCCTGGAGAAACTCAAGGCGCCGGAACAGAGGAAGAGACCTGGGTCACCTGTACCCAGGCCATCATCGGTTAATGGGTATTTGTGAGTATTTGGGGAAAGTTTTGCTGGGGGTTTAGTAGATTATGATGGGTCATTGGCTTCGTTTAATTAGAATGAGTGGAATGAGGATTAATAGAGAATACTGCAGTCTCCAATATTAAATCTTGAATTTCAAATGAAACCAAAGGGAAAAAAGGGTCTAAACAATTTCAACATCTGGGTATTTTTTATGAAAATTATAGTTCGAGAGATATTTGCAGAATAACAGATAGTTTCAGATTATTCTGCGCAGTTCTTTGAAGGAACAGAGGGACATGTTGTATGGGGAACTTACTTGAATACAATAGAGATCTTTTCATTTTCTTTCAAAGTTATTAGTGCCAGAAATATTAATATAATAAATTGTGGGAAGTTTTTCATCTTGTAGGAAATGTTGAAGGAATATAAACACTATTTAACTAATATCTCTTGAATTGGTAGTTTTAGAGAGAAGTTTTAAGGGATCTTTTGATATTTTCTCTGAAATGTACTAGTCGCAAAGAGAATTACAAATGAATTTACATTACTTTAGTGAATTATCTGGGAAGTGTCAAAAAAATTTTAAGATTTTTTAGTAAACATGTTCAAAGAAGTCTATGGCTCAGGGAAAAAAAGCATAGACATTGAAGGAAATATTCTCATTCAGGACATATCAGAAAAATAATTTCTACAGAATTTTTGCATTGATTACTCATTATTTATAATTTCAAAATTATTATCTTTGTATCTTTGTTTACAGGAACAGAACATCAAATTCCCTCACCAGTGATTCAGAAAGCAGTAATGCTAGTTTTGGTAGTAATGGTCGTCCAAGACGACAGAGAGCTCCAGTCAATTTTGCAGAACCTTCATTGAGAAAGTGAGGGCACTTTAAACTATATTTTTCTTCATTTATTGAAAACATTCACTCGTTAATTTTACTTTTTTGTAGGAAATTGAGGCGAGAGTGAGCGTCTGTTGACGACAGTATAGCCTTTAATGACTGAACTAAAGGACTGGCTGTAATCACTAATTATTTGACCCAATAGTTCGCGGTCGACAATTGCATTTCTATGGTAACGTAAGGCCTGCTGAATAAAGTTAATTGTTCTCATTTTCTCTGTAAGTTTATCTGAAATTTTTTGAATCTGGTTAAACTGCTTCACAGAGAAAATTCCTATAGAATATTTATAAAGATTATTGTCAAAAATATGTTGTGTTCTTCGGCGTTTTTCACTTGATTAAACATTGTCATATTCATTGTCATTGGTAACTGCATAATTGTTCATTCGAAATTTCCTAGATAATGGAACGTTCGAGGGTGACAGGAAATAAATCTTTGTTGTCAATACTGCTTGTGTTCTTTGCTTCGAAAATCAGTTTTAAAAAATTTAATATTTGTCAACTGGACTTATGATGAGTTCCATTTTCGTAATATAAAAGACAGAGTTCTTGAGGATATTCAAATATACCTTACATTTTCGAATATCAAATTTATTAATTAAATTTCATGAGAAGAAGTAGATAATTATAGAAAGTTAATTTTGCTCTTATTATTATTTTTTTAACTGATTTTTTTTTATAATTCACTTCTTTCAAAGGAATTATAGACATAGTTTGAACTTTCAGGCACTTTAATTTTTTTTAAAAACGTCATTATTATATTTTGCAAAAAAAAATTTCCAAATATTTCCTTCTTGTAAAAAAATCATGGAAATGATTATCGGGGAAATTGTGAATATGGACAAATTGATTAAGGTTAAAAATTAAATTACTTAGACATCCTGAATAATCATCAAAGATTCTGAAAGTTGAAAAATCCTAAATTTTAATTTTCTTAATCTTACATCAAAACTATGCACTACGCAATTATAAAAACTATTGAATAATCTAAAACCTAAACAGATTCGTTGTACACAAAATCCCGTTTCGTTCATAAAAAATCTCTCATAAACTAAAATAGTAATGATTAAAGCACCATCACAGGGACCTAGACCCATCCCTCCCACTGTCAATAGTCTCCATCCTCACCCAGTGCCTCGTAGAATTCGGAATAACGGATGTGGCATTAGACACAACAACAGATATTACTGGAACGTGAATTTTCAAATCATGAGGTTCAGCTGGTCGTGGTCTGCTTGTCACAGTGACGAGTCGTTGACCCTCCTCCCTTCCTTCATTGGGTCTCTCTATTCTCTCGATTTTTCCCACTGCTCCCCTGGTCTTCGGTCTCTCGCTCTCCTGGGTCGACAAGGCTGCGTTCAACCGTTTGGTGATGAAAAACTGCGGACTGTTGTCGTTCCTGGAGACAGCAGTCAGCGAAGAGTTGGAAGTGTGGAGGGGTTTGAACCTGGAATTCGCCCTTTGGTACTCGGATTCGTCAGCCTTGTCACTGGGGAAAATTTTCAGGGGCAGGAGAAGAACCTCCTCAGTTCTTCTTTTTTTCACACTTCCAGTGGACGAGTTGGTACCGTTTTTGGGCTCTTCAATCGACTTCACTGGAGGTGTGACTTCATCGGAGTCATTTGATTCACGATGATTGTGATTATTAGCTAGAGCGACTGAGTCTGTGCCGTTAGGAATGGGGCCGGGTGATATTTCCTGGGAAATAAATGGAAATGTTTGAAATTCATTCATTCTTTGACATTGCTATTTCTATTTTTTTTTAATGTTGATAATTCATTGAACGGTCGATGAAACTGGACTTTTTTTTTTCCTTGTGAAATACAATTATTTATTTATTTATTCATTCATTTTTATGATATTTATTTATCGTGATTTATTTATCGTATTGTGTTCATGATGGTATTGAAATTGCAACTGAAGTCGTTCATCGATTCTAATGCTCCTCAATTGTTTAAAACATATTGTTGTCATCTGATGCTTTTTTGTTCGAATCTTATAACGTTCAATACTGTTTAGTTATTTTTATGTCTGAAGAAGTGAGCATTTAATCATTTCATGGACTGTTAATGAAATTTTTCCTTTATTTCTCCAAGCGCAAAAGGCTTATCAACAATTAAGAAGAAGTAGCAATCGAATCAATCATTTTATGAAGCCATCATCAACATTCTCATCAAAAATACCAATAGAAATATAAATTAGAGTAGAAGCACTTCGTATCGTTTAGAGTCTTGTTATCAAAGTTTTTCCATGACATTTCATTGAAACGGTTAAATTATTCAATATTTCAATTAGTAATTTAAATAGTATATTACCCAGACGTGAGTTTGTGGCTTCAAAACTAGTCAATCACTATTATATCTGGAGAATTAAAATTTTCCCTCGTTTTTATTGTTAATTCCCACCAAGTCCAAACTGTTTGTCAACAATTAAGAACAACAATCGTCGGAATCAATCATTACCTGAAGCCATCATCAACATTCCCAGCAAAAATAGAAATTAGAATAGAAGTACTTCACAAAATTTATAGTCTGGTTATCAAAGTTTTTCCATGACGTTTAATTGAAACGCATAAATTATTGAATATTTCAATTAGTAATTTAATTAGTATATTACCCAGACGTGAGTTTGTGGCTTCAAAACTAGTCAATCACTATTATATCTGGAGAATTAAAATTTTCCATCGTTTTTATTGTTAATTCCCACCAACTCCAAACTGTTTGTCAACAATTAAGAACAACAATCGCCCGAATCAATCATTATCTGAAGCCACCATCAACATTCCCATCAAAAATAGAAATTAGAATAGAAGCACTTCACAAAATTTATAGTCTTGTTATCAAAGTTTCTCCATGACGTTTAATTGAAACGCATAAATTATTGAATATTTCAATTAGTAATTTAATTAGTATATTACCCATCCATGAGTTGGTGGAGCTTCACCATGAAGCACGGCCACAGGCCAATGTCTCCCGCCACATTCGACCTCGTACTCGCACTTCGTAAAATGTGGTCTAGGAGAGATGGGTCTAGAAGGTCTCGGTCCTGTCGGTTTCGAAGAATACGGGAAATACCGCTCACTGCAGGGTCTCCACTGTTCCTTGGAGGCCCCCACGTAGCACCAGGGGTACCGGAACCCCTGGGAGAAGCCGCACTGGTGTGAGGGCTCGCAGCAGTAGTCCCAGGAGTCTGGTTCAGAGCCCTCGGTCTGGCAGGACCAGAACCCAGCCTCAGGGTGCCTCTCGCATTTCGTTCCTCTTTTGCAGGGGTGACCGCTCACCGTGTAATGGTTGAAGACTGTCAACTCTGGGGGGAAGAAGAAGCGCTCGTCCTGGGGGAAGCTCGGCTTGGCGTGGGGGACGGGGTAGTGGTAACCCAGGGCTGAATCTCCCGGTTTGCTGTGGTCTGGGGCGTTTACTTCGTAGTAATAGGGGTCTTCTGGCTTCTCGTAGGGCTTGGGAGGTCGTGGCGCAGGGGGGAGGTCTCCAGGCGTCGGCGGAATGTAGCTGGGGGCGTCGTAGTCGTCCAGGGGGGAACACTTGGGCTCGAGCTCTTTGAAGACGTAGAGGGAGTAGTCCTCGTCGTGGGTGTAGTCGAGACCTGGGCGGAGGTCTCGAGTTGGGACGTCGCTCATGTGGCAGTTGTCTCCGTCAGTGTCACCAGAAATTCTGGAGAATTGAACGGTATACATTGTCATCATTACGACGTTTCCTGTATTCGTGACTTCTTCTATTTTCTTGTTCTTTCGTAGAACTGATTACAAAAATGCGGAAGAAAGCGAAAGAATTTAATGATTGTAAATTAAACAAGTAATTGATAAGAGAGCACACTGGGAAAAAAAATTACTTTTGCCAAGGAATCATTTTCTTGGGAGAAGATTTTTTTTTTTTAGGAACTTATTTCTCTAGGTCAGTCATTCCCAGGTGGTCCATGTCCATCTCCAAATATTACAATTATGTTGAATAGTGAGATGATTATGCTATATATGACCTTGAATGATCACGCTTCATTATTTTTCAATTTTTTCAAATTCGAGGTTTTCTAACGTATAATAATTTGAAATAATTTTAAAGGTTATTAATTGTCAATGGAGTTCATTCAAGGTCATATGTAATATAATCATTCCATAATTGAACATAATTGTAATATTTAGAGATGGACTTGGACTCTTGATAATGACTGGCCTGGAGAAATACGCTCCGCAAAAAATAAATTCTTCTTCCAAGAAAATGATTCCTTGGCAAAAGTAATTTTTTCTCAGTGCAGGGATAAAATTCAAAATAATTGCGCTGAGAAACGATCCGTGAATAGTTCCAGAAGGGATTGAGAGAAAAATAACGAACTTTTTTTTAAGTTTGCTGAATTCTGTGGATTTTTTTATCTGATAATTTATGGGAAATTTTTGGATCCATTCTAGTGGTGTTCTTTAATGAATTGAATGAATGAGATTCTAATGAACTTTGAATTAATATTTTAATTTTTCTCCGATTTTGGATTCTCCATGTATTTAATCAAGATAATTGAGTAAATTTGATATCTGTTTCAATTGATGAATATTTCCGTAATCGATGAATCTATTCGTCTCTGTGGTGGTCGTGATGATCGTGAAAGGTCAGGTCATGTTGGAGTCGTAATTGAATAATTCGTTGATTCATAAATATGACCTCGTTCAATTTAGGTTATTGCTTTTGAGTCTTCTCTCACGGGGAATAAAAAATGTATTCTTCTTGGTATTGTGTACCAAATATTCAACATCTATTCGACACTGCTTATATTTAGTAAAGATAATTTCATTAAGCTTCCAATTTTCCGAATGGAAATTATCTTCAATAAGATAAATTCCATTTAAGAATTTTTTCTTGCTTTTGGAAGTTTTTGCATTCGTTCTGATTGATGAATGTTTATACTCACTTATAACTAAAAGACATACAAGGTGGTGAATCCCTCCCCATATTCTCCCTCATGACAGTGCATTTCTTCCGACAATCAGCTTCCGAGTCCACCTTAGCCGTCAATATAATAGCATAAGGTGTTAATTTGCAGGGTCTGTCGTAACCAGCATAACAGGACGCTATCATGTAAATTCATAACGATAGGGGGTATGTTGTTGTTTGTTGATAAAAAATTAGTAGCGAAGTGGTAAAAGAAAATAAGTCAATTTTGACTATTGACCAGTCTTCAATCAATATCTCGGAATCTAAGGAAGATAGCAAAATTTTTGTTATGACCATTTTTGTGGAGCCGATTGAATGCTACAACAAATGTAATTGCGAAAATTTCGCTATCTCCCTCAGATTCGCAAATATTCCTCAAAAACTCAACTGGGATATAAGTCGACTTATCTCCGTTTACCTTCTTACTACTGAAATGATTACTGATTATTGTATGTGAGTTATACCTTCGTCGGTGCGGGAGGGTTTGTAGTCTAGGGCCGGGCGATTCGGGGCTGAGGGAATTGGGGGATGGGGCTCACAGCCACGACCGAAACTACCTCTTTCGTAGAGTTCGGCGCCGTCCATGTCCTGCATTTTGTGGGGGTCTATTTCGACCGCTGGCCAGTCACTCAGGTAACAGTTGGGGAGGCCACTTATCGAGCGAGAATCGTATCTTAAACGAAGAATGAATTAATCATTAAAATACGTGTGGGGAAAGTTAACAGAAAAATCTACTACTTTCCCTAAAAAATTCTACTGAATCTCTATTGGAACAGACGAAGAATTCTGTTGGATTTTTATTCTATTGAAATTCTATCAGACATAGAATTTTGCCTTGCGATTTGTCAACGAATATTCGATAGAAGACAATCAATCAGTTTTTATTTTTTTAGATGAATTATTCTCTTGAGATTTATTTCTGTAAAAATTCTTGAGGATGATTTTTTTTCAAATTTTATAGCTGTATTTGTTTCTCATTACAATTCATGCCTACGCATTGTCATTGGAAAAGGAATATGTATCAATTTTTTCCATCAAATGCGTATCGAAGAACGAACGGAAAATGAAAACAAATGAAATTGAATAGAATTGTTCAATAGCATCTCAAAGGAATTTCTTACAGAAAACAAGATATCTAATTCTATTGAAATTTTTACGAAAAATTCTTACGAAAATTTTTCCTAAATTAGTAGATTAGTTGGAAAATATCCCTGAAACCAACAAATATAAAGAAAAACTCTCTTTTTTTCCATCAAACTCAATAATTATTAAACTGAATAAATAATGATTGTTAATCAATTATTATCTTTTCTTTTCGTTTCGATCGACTCATTTCTTTAGGTTAATGTCAATCCTCTAAAAATAATCGGAAACTTCAATTCGTCTACTAATCTATTTAGTCATGTACCTGAAGACAAAACTTCTGCAAGTGAAATCCCTCGCATGAACGCACTCGACCTGGCACTCCCCCATCCCCTCCACCCTCGTGGGCTTCTTCACCACCGAGGGAGGCATTCCAAATCCAGTCCGAACCCTCCAAAAACACTCTGCATAAAAAAATAATCATCAATGACTGCGTTGTGCACAGAGAGATGGACGTTTCCTATTGCGATTATGATTCTTTCAAAATATCTGAGGGAAATAGTTTAAACGCAGTCATACCATCCGGCGGACGCGGTCGCCTGGGACTGGATGACGGTCTTCCGCGCGTCTCACACCACTTTGCCTTTGCCATCGCGTAGATGTCGTAATCGCGGTCTGGCTCGAGGTCAGTGTAGAAAACAAGATTCTCGAAGGGTGCGTCCGAGAGGAGGCAGTTGTCTGAGGGTGCTGTTGCAGCTAGATTATATCTGAATCGCGGATGAACAAAAATTATGCCATGAATTGCATTTGGAGAGACCAAATGATCATGAAATTAATCAATTACATAATTTAATTCATTATATTAAAAATATTTATTATCTTCCATTAAAAAATTGATTTAATCCAATTGTTCTGGAATAAATCGAATGAGGGATCAAAAACATTTTACTAGTGAGGATCCATCGTTAGTAGTGATCATTAATAGTCATCAATCATTGATCTTTCATGATTGATAACTATTGAAGGAATTAATTAAATAAAAAAAGAAATAAATTTAATTCAATTTAATTGCACTGGACTGACTAAAATTATTGATTTGAAACATCAACATGATGATGATCAATCATGACGTCATTATTTATTAATAATTATGACTTGATAATAGTTATTAATAATCCTGCAACATAATAATTGTTCAAGAAATTCATTGAATTGAAAAAGAGTAAATCCAATTTAATTAAAATCTTCAAACTGAATTGAGAATGCATAAAAATGATTTTCTGAATTGCATAAGTCATTGATAATTATGATTTTATAATACGAAATTAATATTTGTTAATTAATATTTCATGATTAATAATCATTGAGGACCTTCATTAAACGAAAATGAAATGAATTCAATTTGATCGAATTGATAAAATTAAATTCAATAACAATTACATTTATTACGCTCACCTATAAGCAAATGTCAAGCAAGTAAATTCTTTCTGACCCTGACACAAACTCTCACACTGTCCTAAATTAGCGGTGAGATAACTCTTCCTGATAATCCCCCTGGCGAGCCGAAATCCGCCAGCAGATCTGACCGAACAGTCTCTGCGAGGAGGAGGCGCTGGCGATATTTTGGGGGCTACAGGTCTATCAGAGTATCCATAGGCACTTCCATAATTGTAGAATGATCCATAATAGGAGTCGTGCTCCGGAGGGGTTTTTGCATACGGTGGCTCGGGGTTCAATGGTCCCATGGGGGGCTTTTCAGGTCCTGAGTAAGGATACCCTCCGTAAGAGGGACCGTAGCCCTCGGAGGAGTCGGGTTTTGGTGGCTTCCTCCGGTCGGGGATGTAGTGGGGCGAAATTTCGTTTGTGGCTAGAAGGCAAAATTAGGATTTTATCTCGATTTAATGAGACAGAGAATAGTATATTTCATCATTCGTGCGTAAAGTGAAAATTTACGCACGCTACGCGTCCATTACAGTGTGATGAAAGATAGGTTTTAACACTCGTGGTAAAACCATTTTTCATCACTTGTGCGCAAAGTGAAAATTTGCGAACGCAACGCGTGCGCAAAGTCCCACTTTTCACACATCGTGATGAATTATGGGGTTCGATACTCGTGAAAAATAGTATATTTTGATACGAGTGCGGAAAAGTGTTGGTCGGCTCGTGAGAGGTTTATAACAGGAGCCGAAGGCGAGTGATATAATCTCACGAGCCAGAAAACACTTTTCCCATGAGTATTGAACGATATTTTTCTTCACAATGTGTGAAAAAGGGACGTTTAAAAAAAAAGTTACTTTTTCGCACAGGGTGATGAAAAAACACTTTTCCACACATTGTGATGAAAAATATCGTTGAATACTCATGGGAAGTGTTTTTTGACTCGTGAGAGGTTTATAGCAAGAGCCGAAGGCGAGTGATATAATCCCCCGAGCCAAAAAAACACGTTTCTCATGAGTATCGAACGATATTTTTTTCCACAATGTGTGGAAAAGGGACATTTAAAAAAAAAGTTACTTTTTCACACAGCGTGATGAATAGTATATTTCTCATCACGGGAAGTAAAATAAAGGAGTCGTGCCCACGTGCTTACCACCCTCGCCCGTGGTGAGAACATTATTTTTCGTCACGGCGTAGGGGCAAAGTCAGATTTGTGCACTTTGCTCCCGCCGTGGTGAAAAAGTACTTTTTGATCATTGGGAGGGTAGTATTCATCTTCAACATCTTCTCTACGCACGTCGTGCGGAAAACAAATATTTTACGCCCGCTATGCCGCTACGAGAAGTGAACTTTTCAGGCTGGTATTACAAAAAAGTAGATTTTCTGATACCTACCTGACAAATGCACTTTTCCAAACGGTTTAGTGTACGTAAAGCGGTTGTTTTTTGCATACGCTCTTGAATTTTACGCATTCGTGCAAAAAAACAACCACTTTACCCCCCTACCATTTCAAACAGTAAACTCGGCAGCTTTACACGTGCATGGAAAAAGTAAAACTTTACGCACTAGTGACACAATAGTATAATTGGATACGAGTGCGTAAAAGTGCTTTTGACCCGAGCAAGGTATGTGGCACTCGCCGAAGCGGAGCGTGCGTAAAATTTCACTTTACGCACAAGTGATGAAATATACTATTTCTAGTTCTACGATTACTCGAATTCTCTGTAATTCCATGATATCGACTGTGTATGGGTTCACTAGGTGATTAACAAATCCTCCAATCATCAATGATACACGTTTATTGAAAAAATCCAGAGAAAAAACACTATTTAACTCAAACAATTTATTCTTTTAATTGATTTTTATAACGATTTCTGTCCATTCTTCGAATGTAGCTAATTCTCCAATGACAGATACAAAAAATGAATCAGCTATCAATCACCTGTTATCAATGAAATGTTATTGAATTACGATCGACATAAAAAACACTATCAAACTCAGATAATTAATCCTCTACTACACCTCTACACTGTTAAAATCTTTTTGAAATCCTAGTAACAGCTGAATACAAATTTACCAATAGATTCAAAAATTCATGAAGACAGTCATCAAAATTCCAAGATTTTTCCTTCCTTGGAATTCCAAAAACAATTTCCTACTAATGTCCTCCATTCACCTTCATCTCTCAACTAAGGCAGCTAAACGCTCTGAGCACAGAACCCCCTTCGAATAAAAAATTGCAGACGGCTGTATCTTCGATACAGCTGTAATTGTACGTGGATACGTCCATGGTCTTTCCTTCTTTCTCGACTTTCCTGGAAACTCCTTGCGTTCCCTCGAATTTTCTGTCAACTCCTTGAATTCCCTTGAATTTTCTAGAATCTCCCTGAATTTCCTCGAAATTGCTAGAAACTCCTTGAATTTTTTTGACATTTCAAGAAACTTCTCGAATTACACGGAGAGAAATTTTCTAGAAAAATTCTGGTACGAGGACTGGAAAAAATCACAATCCACCGACTATGAAAAATTTTAGTGCTGTTAAGGTAAAATTTCTTGGTATTCCTGGTAAAATTTCTGGGGATTGCTGTGAAATTTTCACAGAAATACGAGGAAAAGTTCACGTTTTCCCCAATAAAATTGCTAGTGCCGGCATGCGATTTTTTTCCGAGCCGTCACTTTGCGCCTCTTTTCCCGTGCTAGCACTGGAATTTTTTAAAAAATTTCTCCCGTGTACCTCGAATTGTCTACAATTTTCTGGAATTACGATAGATGGCGCTGCACATAAAAACCGTTTCCAAAAATGACCGCCCATATTGAAACTATAGACGTATCCACGTCAAAAAAATCATCAATCAATCACCTGGATCGGGAGTGTATCCAACCCTCCTCATAGGATACTTCTGTCCATACCTCCCCCCTGCACCCATCCACATTCCGTCTCCAGGTCTTCCATAGGAGTACCCATTGCCGCTGTAGCCATAATCGGAGGGTCTAGAGGGTAGATACCGAGGGAATCCCATCATGGATCTCCTGCCCTCGCCCTGATGAAAGTCATCAGGTCTGGGTCTCTCAGGTCTCATCTGGGGGAAGGGGGGCCAGTTGTCCTCGAGAGGTCGCACAGACAGGGCGGGCGGATGAGTGGGTCTAGCGACATCATTGGGTCCGGGTCTGGCCCAGGGGTCAGGGCGCCTGCGATCGTGGTCGATGGGTCTGGGCACATCGAAGCTCAGCCTCGTCTGGCCCACGAAGGTCCCGCCGTAAGGAGGGGCTCCAGGACTCGTTGGAGGGGCTGGAGTGACTCCTGGAGGGATGTACTGACCCCCTAGTCCCCGTGGAGGTGCCCACCCTGGTCTGCGCCCCCCGGAGTCTCCGCCCCACCAACTTCCTGATGCCCCTGGGTGATCTGGCCGCAGCTTGTCCCTCCGGGGCTCGCACTTTCGCCTCGTCCAGTCCCTCTCGTAGTAGTCGTAACGAGGATCTGATACGAAATCTCGGTTCACGTCCACTCGGCTCGGCGGCATCGACACCAACTCGCACATTCCCTTCGCACCTGGATGGGGCCTGATAACAGATCGAGTGACTGAACCATCGATTCAATACGAGTGGAGCGGGGGTTTACGGGGACTGATGACACCAGTCAAATTACATCCGCAATGATGCAATTGAAATGGGGATAAACAATGCTCGATTGCATACTCTACATGCGTGCAAACGTCATTATGGGATAACCCAGATACGTCTCGTTTCGAGTGCAGAAACATGCCAACCGTGGATAATAGCCGTCATCGGGGCGGCGGGATGTTTAGTTGGGTTTATGAAATTTTTTTTTTTCGTGATGTTTTTTTAGGAGAGTTAGTTTTCGGAAATACTGCTAAGCAATCGATGTAGGGCATGCTGTTAAACTGAGGTAATTTTATCGTTTACTATTCCTGTATAATTGTGGAATTTTTTAAATTTAAGTAACCGTGGAATCTCAATTCCCGATCAGATTATCACTAGGGGTCTCGTTTCGAGTGTAGAAACACGCTAACTGTAGATAATAGCCGTTAAGGGAGCTTGAGGTGGTTCAGTTGGGTTTTTCATTTGAAATTTGTTTTTGCCTTGCTTCTTATTTTTAGAAGAGGTAAAATATTAGAATTTTTGGCGAATGTAATTGATAGTTACGTGGAAATTTTTTATATGGAGACTTCGGAATTGATTCAAGATTAAATTATTCATGATTTATGAATTATTTATGTTACGTCAGGATTTTAAGACTTTTTTTATTCCTTATAATTGAAAATATTGAAATTTCAATCCTTGAATTTTTATTGTTAATTTGGGACAATATTTGTTCGAGTTTCTGTAATTTCTATGAATTTTTATCATCATGTTAAATAGAATTGAATTTTTTCTTTCGTTCTTGTGGAATTCGTATGAAATATAATAGTTGTTGAATATCTTATGCAGTTAGGGTGAAATTTCCAATCGATGAAAATCGGGTTTTGCTTACCGGTAATTGAAACCCTCACACGTGAATCCTCTCTCGTACTCGCACATCCGATGACAATCGTAAAGCCTCTCGCACTCCATCACTCGTTTTACGTAGGGATCGATGATTCTTTTGCCGGAGAGCAATCGACGAAAACATGCTACAAATTTGAGATGGTACAATCACTACTTCCACTTCCCATTCATTTAATTCAACAAATTTGAGAATTTTTATTGATTCTACAATGAGTCACTCAAATATTTTTGGAATTATCTTGTGTCATTGTACTGCGAAATGTCATAAAAATGTTTTTGTAGATAATTTAGACTAAAAAAACATTTCGTCATTTCACTCTAAAGTGAATCGCTTTTAGGCAATTTTATTCACGCAAGAAAAAAGTCAGTAGAAAAAAAGTCTATTGCAATTCTTAATTTTTTTTACAGATAAATAAAAGAAGAAGTCAACAGTTTTTTCCTGTGAAAATTCTTGGGCATAAATTTCCCAAGTTTTTTTAACTGTACTTTTTTATTTCTCATTGAAGAATCTAAATTCAAGAGAGTAAATAATACCGTTCTAATAGAATTTCATTAAAATTTTTTCAATGTAAAATTTTCTTAAATTTTGATACAGCATTTTATTTAAAAAATTCGAGGTTTCGCAAATGACACAATTCTTTGCTTTTAATAATTTTCTCTTCGATTTCATTTTTAAATAATTGAATTATTAATAAACTCTTGTATTCACGTATCAAAAAACTCAACAGGAAAAAATTCTATTGCAATTCTATCGTTTTTTTTTGCCAGATATATAATAGAAGGAATCAAAAGATTTTTTGTAGAAATTCTAGGGAATAAATTTTTCATGTTTTTTCAACTGTACTTTTTTGTTTCTCATTGAAGAATCTAAATCCAAGAAAATGACTAATAGAATTCCACTAAAAAAATTTCAATGTAAAATTTTATTAAAACTGAATACAACATTTTATTCAAAAAATTCGAGTTTTTGCAAGTGACACAATTCTTTGTTTTTAATAATTTTCTCTTCGTTTCTCAATTTTGTTTTTTTAATCCTTCATTCCTTGGTACTGATGAACTTACGATCATCACAGTCCGCATCGCGCACAATAATAACGGTACCCAAACACAAAGATTCGCTGAATAAAGTCACAAGACAAATAAACCACCACATTCTGCCAATTTCCATTCACTGAAAACTTTTCCTATCAACAATGCAAAAAATTTCCAATTCCCCACAGTTTATCGTCATCGAAGGTAATTGATGATGACATAAACAGCGAGTAGAATTTGAGTATGTACTAGACGGCGATGCGAAGACATCGCCGAGGATGCCAGTACGATTGGGTGAGTCGAAGAAAATTGAAAAAATAACAGCAAAATTACAGGTTCGCATCGTTTTATATGGAAAAGTGAACGTTTCCGTGGGAATAGTGGGAGGATCAAGTAGCTGGGGGAAGAGTAGCGTACGATCATCAAACCCAGTCTCTAGTGTTCGCGTAATAATAGTGATTTTATCATCTCATTGTCACCTCCGGAGAGCTAATCAGTTTCAAATTATTTCGTAGAAATTTTATTTCCTCTTTTTTGAATATTGAGAGAAAAAATTGCATCGAATGAATGAGTCATTATTATTCAACTATGAATTTTATTAATAATCAATCAATAATTAATGATTTTATTTTTTGAGGCGATTATTCATTTTTCAATATCTATTTTGGGAAAATTGAATTCTGTTATTGAAAATGCTGAAAAATTCAGATTTATTGTTCGACAATTTTGTAACTATTGAGCTTGATAGACCTATTTGTCCAAAGAGTTGAGAAAGTTCCTAATACTGTTCACGTAATAAATGACTTTATCATCTCATCGTCACGTCGGGAAACTAGAGCTAATCAGTTTCGCATTAATCTGTAGAAATTCGGTTCCCTCTTCTGTAACTATTTAGAGAACAAATTTAAGCAAATTCATAATTAATTAATATTCAACTATAAACTTCATTAACAGTGTTCAAAAAATAATCAATTATTTCATTTTTGGAGGTAATTTTTCATTTTTCAACATGTACTTTGAAAGAATTGAATTCTATTGTTGAAAAATGCTGAAAAATTTTTCTTTGTTTTCGATAATTTTCTTTGATAAAGCGAATTGTCGAAAGAGTTGAAAAAAGCTATAAACGGAAATTCTAAAAAATTTACAAAAATCCAGTTTTCCCTCTGGTCATCAGTAACTGATTAATTTTTTTCGAAATATGACATAAGAATTTTTTAGAAGGGAATTGAACCTTGAAAGTTCCTTGAAATCTTTCAATTATTTCCGGCAGGCATTTTACATTCTTAAACACTCTGACTTCCACACTTTTCACGCCACCGCGAAACGGAGTCACATACAGATAATTGGTTCTGGATTACAATCACAATAATATCCCGAGTCGTTAAGCAAAGATATCCCTAAGAGTAAAAAAAAATTGTAAGGGCGATTCATTCATCAAAATCCACAGGTAAAAAAATTCAAATGTTGCGTTAATTTTTTTCCAACACAGGGTCATCCCCAAAACAATTATTTCTCCCTTCCTGTCGTGATATCATAAACCTCCAGACAAAGGAGTTAACTATTTCCGTCAACAAAAGATTAAAAAATCCTCGAAAACGACGAGAATAATTAACCCCCTAAAAATCGAATTTGAAGGACTTCGGACTGTGGAATTTTATTGTTGAATATTTTTATGATGGAAATCCTCTCCCTCGCGGCAAAACTCTTACTTTCAGCCGACACTTCCCCTTTGTTCTCCACTCGAGATGAGATATTGAGACAATTGCAAACTCCAAGGCTTCAAATTAAGATTCCCCCCGATTTTTAAATTTCTTCCCGTCAAAATTAATTAAATCAACGAAAAAAATCTCTAATTACAAAAAAATGTAAATAACCCCCGACGATTTTACATAACTAATTGCTCGATTGAGAATAAATGACGGAGGCATCCTGACCCATCCCAGCATGAACAAGACATCAAACCGTCGTAAGAGAAAAAAACCTGGACATTTACGTTGTTCATTAACAACGTAATGACGTCGTGCTGTATTATTCTCTGTTCACGCCGGCCCAGCGGAAACGCCCCGGTGAAGAGTGACGAGAGGGAGAGAGAGTGAGAGAGAGACAGTGGAGAGATTCACGAAGCGCGAGGGGAAGCGTTTAGAAACCGTGTCAATGCCGGCGTTTCCACCTGCGATTCGTCGATTAGTCCAGTGCAAATGAACAGCGGATACGAGTCAATGTGCGCGTGCAGGCCATTTGCACTTACTCGAGTCACGCCAATTAAATCGTTCGATGTAACTCACCTTTTACCTCATTTGTCGGCTCGTATGCGCTGGGATCAGGCACATCATTTTGCTGGATTGATGGGTGTTTTATTGATGCACTGGGAAAATTTGTTAATTCGAGGGTTAATTCATTATTTCCGCTGCGTTCTCTTAAATACATCAGCGAAACAACAATGAATGCTGAAAATATTGTGGAAAAATTTCAAGAGGAATTTTCAATTGAAATACGTGCGAAAAGGTTGGAATTTCAGGGACAGTTTAGTGGTAATTTTCTGGAGGGCAACAGTGAATTCGATTGAGAAGAAGGAAAATCAGGGATTTTTGAATTTCAGGGGAAATTCAATGGGATTATAAATTTCTGGGCAGCGGGAAATGGAGATTTCTCGATCTTATTTGGATTTTTACGGAAATTTAAATAAGCCTTAATTTTTTAATTATTGGAAATTAAAAACTACATTCACATGAATTTTTGTTCTTTTCATTCAATTTCGTATTTTCAATGAGGAAATTCCTTGAAATTTCAGGGGAATTAAATTCTGATGAAAATTTCAAAAAAGTGTACCGGAAATAGCTTAAATTTTCAAGAGTGTTCGTGGAATTTTTTATTCATCTGTTTGAAAACGAAATAGAGATGTTTAGGAGATTCAATTGAAACTTCAAGCAATCGTATTTTCAACAGAATAAAATTTGCATTCTTTAAGTTTTTACTAAGTATCCATATTTCATTGATACTTATCAATATTCCACTGGAAATTAAATAGAGTTCTAAATTTCTGGACAGAAGAAAGTCGAGATTTCGCGATCTTATTTCTATGAAAATCCAAATAATCCTTAATTAAAAACTACATAAACCTGAATTTTTTTATTTTCATGGAAAATTTCAACTAAAATTTACATTAATTAAAATTCAGTATTTCCAATGAGAAAATTCCTTGAAATTTCAGTGGAACTAAAATGTCATGAAAATTTCCAAAAAGTGTATCTGAAATTTCAGCCAAAAATTTTTTAACAGTGTTCATGGAATTTCATAATTATCTGTTTGAACACGAGATAAAGATCTCGAGATCACGAGGATAAAGATGTTCAGAAAACTCAATTGAAACTTCAAATAATCATATTTTCAACAGAATAATTCGCATCATTTAATTTATTATTAAGTACCAATATTCCATTCTCTCCAAAAATTTACGAATCAAGTCGTGAAATTTTGAAAACCCGTCATTTTTCCTAAACGAATCTTCCGTTTTTGAATTGTTAATAATTTCCGCAGAAATATCTAAATGAAAAATTCAATCACAAATTTCTGACATTCATAAAAGCCCATAATTACCTCGGATCAATCCAGAAATCATGAGCATCAACTCCTTCAGTCAACCTCTGACCGAATCCCAAAGAATCATCGAATGCATTTACATAATCATCTTCATCAGCTTGAGGTTTATTTTTCTTTAGAACCGTTGATACCGGGAACTCCCCAAAAATTTTGTGAGGGGTCAACCTTCTCCCGAACGTATCCCCGAATTTCTCTTCCTCGATTGTCAAAAAATCGGGATTACTGTTGTGGTCTCCGTAATTATTGTAATCAGGATGCTTGAAGTGGTTTTCAGAGACGATTGGAAAGGAGTTGAAGTTGTGGACCACCTCCTGCCACCCAAAAGGCCCCCCAGTGGTCCATTTGTTGTTGTTCTTAAATTTTTCGTTGCTCCATTCATCGAAATTCGACTTCTCTCCTAATTTCTCCTCGTGCTCATGACTCCTATAATTCTTCTTGTTATAGAGAATATCAGAAGTCCTGAGTCGATCATCGTTGATAAAATCGAAAGGGGAGGTAGGTCTCCCAATATTCCGGACGATTCCACTGCGATTATTTCTATTTCGATTGAAAACGGAATTCTCAAAGGCTGTGAGAAGACTATTATTCCCGAATAATCTCTGAGGTCTATCTGCGTTGATGTTAAGAAACCCAACTCCATTTCCAAGCCCTCCCGGACCATTTTGGTTCATCGGAGACGTTGGACTCATTGGGGTCGTGCTGGAGGACAACCCAGCCCTCGTTTGGCACCCCCTCAGCGAAATTTTCCCCTTGGAATAAACATCGTAATTAGGGTCTCGTTGGAGATCCGTCTGGCCGTCAGGCGCTCGGCTCCCCAACACGCAGGATCCATTCCCTCTATTCCCAACTCTACAACACGAATGCACTGTTTGGAATAAATTGAAATTTCGCGGACAGTTTAAGAGTATTATGACGCGGTGCGCAAAAGCAAAGAATTAAATGAAACATTTTCAACGTATTATTTCACATATGGATAAACGGGATGCAATATATCGAGAACCTCATGTGCACAATATCAATGGAAACAAAATTGAAGTTGTAATACCTTAAATAGTAATTTTCAGGAGAGTGACATTCAATTCGATTGAAGGGGGTGGGGGGGAGTAGTTGAATTGCAATGGCCCAGATCACTTGATTTTTAATAAACATATGAATATTTTGGATCAAATGACGGTGAATTTTAAATTGATAGAAAATTCAAAAATTTATTTACCGAAATTTTTCTGATTTCTAGTTATTTTGTATTGATGGAATAATTGCCTTGAAATGTCAAGTTTCTATTGAATTTTTCATCAAATCAGATTTTTAAATAACGAAATTCTTTGAAATTCCCACAAAAGTTTCCACAAATTTCAGTTGACCTATCACCTGATGAGAATTTCCAAGAAGTGTACCGAAAATTTCCAGAAAAAATTTTCAACAGTAGATACACTTGTGAAATTCCAAATTTTTGAAAATTTCCTAAATTGCTGAATGTAGCACTAAATTACATTTAATTTTCCTTCTTTTTTTTTTATCAATTTTGATGGAATAATTCAGCTTAAATTAAGTTTCCATTGATTTTCCCGTAAAATTTTCAATTTCTGATGACGAAATTTCTTGAAAATGTAGTGGAACTATTGCCCGATAAAAATTCTCAAGAAGTGTACCGGAAATTTCATTTTTAAAAATTGAGCGGTGTGAAGATGAAAAACTGACGAATCAGTTTTAATGAGATGTGAAAACAAAGAAACTTGAAATCAACTTCACATCACCAATTTTGAACCTTCACAAACGTTTTGTACATCGACAAGGTCATTGAGATTGTTAAACCTCATTGTGCCTTCAAAGTATCATCAACTTACCCGAAACTAAAGGAGCCGCAGGAAGTGCCGTTGGTCGAGCAAGCGGCTTCGCAATCACCAACAGCATTCGCTTGAATTGTTGAAATAACTAAGGAATCAACGAGACGAGAGCCGATTGATACCCTAGTGTAGCAATCTAATAAAAAAGAATAATTAATTTCCGGTTCGTGAATATTTTGCAACTCATGTTTTTCATTCTAATTATTGGATAATTAACGATGCGATGATTGAATCTTCGATTGAATTTAAGAGGGATTTACCGGGGGGAATGACGAACAGGCGGTTGTCAATTGTGAGATCCAGGCTGTGGCCATTATTCAAGAGAGTTGATGATACAAGTAGGAAAATGAGATAAACTCGGTTTCCTGGAATGTTTGAGGCTCTATCCATGTGATTCTTCATATCCAGTGTCCAGGGGAAACCGTGACACTCTCATTGCAGTTGGAAACTATTGTCTTTACCCTTGAGGCGGTTCTTTTGTGATTCACAAGGTTTTTAAATGATTTATTTAACTGTTAAATAGTTGATCACAGAGAAAAAAAAGTTTTTGATTATCAGGCACATGTCGTGTTCAGGGACCTGTCACTGATTTTTAAGGATTTATTAGTAGGGGTTCACTATTGCGAAATTGCGTGAGTGAAAAAATGATTTTGGCACTCATTTCTATTAAAATCTTCACAAATTTTCAGGGACTCATCTCTATTTTCCATGAATTTACAACCAAATTTCAATGATAAAAATCAGCAATGATCAGGATCATTTAGTAAGTGTCCAGTATCACCAATAATTGGTGATAGATTCATGAAAATCGGCGACATGCGCCTGAAGATCAGTGACGTGTCACTAATTTTCAGGGATCTATTGCGAAATTTCATTGATAAAAGTCACTGACGATCAGGATTATTTAGTCAGTGTTCAGTATCACGAATAATTGGTAACAGATTGTCAGTGACATGTCGCTGAAAATCAAAACTTTTTTTCCGTGACATTAACTTATTCTCAATGAGATGATAATTTGGAATTCCAGAATTATTACACTTCATCAGGCAAAGCCATATTCATAAATCACAATTACCGTTAAATTTTGAAGCCGTCAATTAGTTAACATCACTCTTAAACTCGTAATTATTCAAGTAATCATCAATTTAAACATTCTATTTTTAACCATTTTATTAATCACTAATTTAGCTACTGAGATTGCCGATTAGTTGGATAATCCCCTTTGAGAAATCATAAATATTCACTTAACGAAAAATTTGCAGTTCCATATTATCAAATATTTAATTCATCATCAGTCGGAAATTTAAACTATTAATATTATATTATTTTTTACCTTTGATGAGTATATTTAAACATTTATCAATGTAAGTCGCAAATCCATTTAATATTGAAGAAATATAATATTGACGGCCATCCCTGCACTTCATTAAAAATATCAGAACAATTCAAAACATAAATATTTTTATTCAATCCCAATTTAATCAATGCCTTCGTAAGAACTCACCAACTCCACAAATCAATTGATTTATCCTACTCAACCACTTCACTTCTAAAATATAATATTCCGTCTTCAGCAGACAAACTCAATTCACACTATGATCTTAGCCATATTACATGCTCCCAATTAAACCTCTAGTTTCACATGAGCCGCCACAATTTCCCCAGGAATTTCGTTATACTTTCCCGCAAGAACAATTGTCCCGACAATGTGCTCTGAACTGAAAGCATCGGCCAACTGTATCAAACCTTTATACTCATTCCGAAACTCGATTGTTCATCCTTTAACGACCCCCTACTGTTGCCAATCCGTCAACTCCGGAGATCAGAGCACCTGAAAATTGCACCAGGTGCACCCTCGGACAGTCGGAAATGCACTGAGTTTCACTCGAGTTCCAGGAACTAATTGTAGGGCTCGGAAGAAATTCATTCCACTGAGGATATATTTTTTATTAAAATAAAAGGGAGTGTCATGTCCATTGACATTCCTTCCTCTTGGGTAATGTCGTAATTACGAGGGGTTTAATCGCTGCGGTTTGATGCAACTGGAGGTGTGACAAGATGATGGAGACTTCATGACGCTCAAGTCTGGCTTTAGTGTCCATTGTTTCGTTTGTGAAAACGTGCGGGTAACGGCGATTTTCGAACGTTTGAGAGAGGAAGAGAATGAAGCGATTTGGATCATTAGGTGCACGCAATATCAGCTGGAATAATCATTCTCCAACGAAAGGAAAAGTTGAAAAAATTGTCGGGTTAAAAATAGATGAGGGAGCCATTAACTATCTTTTTTTAAAATTAAGGCCCGGGTGAATTATCTTCCGAACGTTATCTCCATTGTTTTTCCATCTTCATAATATAAAATATATTACAATTTTCATTGGATTTTGCATCACCCAGGAGTCCCGAAAAATTATTATTGTACAATCAAAAAAAGTCGAAAAAAAAACTGAACATTTTCAAAGAGCGTTTTTAATAAAGATTAAGAAATAAATGCGATAGAGAGGAAGTAGTGAATGGATAATTTATCACGGTAACTAACGATCTGACAGCCATTGACTATTGTGACAAATGACGACCTAATCAATTCCAATTTTCCAATGAAAATTATTGTAAACTACTCATTGAAAAATATCAAATCTGACAGGAAAAAGGGCATAATGAAGGAGCATCAACAAGGGTAACGCTAGTCTATCAAAATCTGTGTCAGTATGTATTTATACGGAGAGAAAAGTTGAATAGAAATTATTTAGAAAATCGTGGTAAATTTTCGTAAAATTTGTGGTAAAGTTATTTTACCACACGGAAGGCAATCTGAAAGGCTTCCATTTAGAAGCAAAAATTTTTGGATTAAAAGTAGATGACGAAGAAGTCTGTAATCACTATTTTTAGAGGTAGATTTACCCAGAAACAAATCCTCAGATCTTCATAAGTGAAAATTGGACGGACACATCCAAAGTGGAAGGCTGGTCATGCTTGAAGTATCACGGGGATACTGTGGAGAATGACGCATCGTTCCTGTTTTTCTTCTCGCTCCTTAACTCCATACGCGTATTGTTTTTATTCTTTATCGGTTTACGCATGAAGGAATCAGGCGTGGGCTCATTATTCGTACTTTTGGGGGTTTTTATTTAATTGGAGGATTCTGTCGTCACCATAATGATGTTCAATCCCTTCTTCTTCTGTTAATTAACGGTGGTACGTCGTTTAATCCTGGTGAGAAAATTCTTAGACAGGATAATTCTGTCATATGATCCCAGAGAGAAATTAGTTGTCAATTGGAAAATTATTTTTTGACGGATTTGCTTAAATTGAATTTATGGTAAATATCTTCTCCAAACTTTTAGCACTGAATTAGTTTGTATTATTACGTACTGAAACTCACTGCTGGAAAAAACTGAAATTTAATGCATGATTTAATTGTAAATTTCAGGAGAATTACATTGAATTCGATTTTAGGAGGAAAAAAACATGAAATTGCAAAATTTTGGGTTGCAGCAGAACGAGAATTCTCAAACTTCCTTAAATTTCCAACCGAAACATGAATATTCAGCACCAAATTACATTCCCATTTTAATTAATTAAAGATTGAAGAATACATTTTGGTGCGCATCCCCCGTAATTAATTATTAAACCGCCCCATCCATTTTATCCATTTGTACGATGTGTCAGTCTTTGTCTGGATATGACAAGATTTATCTTAATTTGATTGATTTCTCTTTAATTTCTTGGAATTTACCGCTTTCATCGTTTTTCCTAACAAAATATAATTTTCAAACACAAAAATCCTGGAAATTTTTGTGGAACAATAATATGGCACAGTGAATAAGCTCGCTGGCTCATACACTCGAGGTCCCGGGTTCAAAACTCGGGCGGGTAAAATGGTGCGATGTAACTGGCCATCTAACGGCGCCGTATCGCGACGCAACTGATCGTGTCATAGAAATATTTCACACGGCGTTGCCACACTTGTGGCTGCCGGGGCTATTGGGAGATCGCCGAGTCCACTCTCTGAATGAATTGTGGCAACAGCGCACTTAGATTTACATCATGGCGCTGCGATGCGAATGTATAACCAGTTGGGTAGTTTCACGCGAGTAACGAAGGGTTAAAAACGAATCTGTGGTATTGATAAATTCCGAATATCATGAATTTTTTTTTGTAAAATTTTATACATAGTTTCTGCGATATTCAACTCTAAAGAATAAAAATATCGTGAAATAGTTTCTGATTTGATTCAGAAAATTAATTAACAAATAATTTATTTTATTCACACAGATAACACATTTATTGTTGCCTCCATCAACAACCCATGAGAATAGAAAAACTCAGTAACTTATGAGAATGAATTAAATTAAGTCATTCAGAATTTTTTCCGGAAATCCGTTGGGGCTAACTTTTGGGTCCGATTGTCTTGGGATATACCTTAATGGTTTATTCGGGAAAAAAATCATAGAAGACTTTCTAAAATTTTTCATTAATCAGGCCCCGGGGCCATTCACTATTGATGAAATAATTGCAGCAGTTAAATACGATTCTGTTTTTAGGATAATCTTCTCTGAAACCGTTTGTTAGAGACAAATTTTCCAGGATTGAATGATCTAATCAACGAAAAAATTGAATAATCATTCCGTAAAAAAGTTGAGGACTCATTTTCCCTCAACAAAACAACTCTAAATATCTGTCGAGTTATTTCAGTCTTCATAATCCTCTTTCCCAGTGAACACAGCAGACACCACATGCCCGTGGATTTCATTCATCGACATCCGGTGAAGGATTAACTGCGCTAAGAAAACGAATATCACATGTGCAAATCGCATTCTACTATTCTCTGACTACTCCAACCCGACTGGAATGAATTTTCTAATACGTCAGCGTGCGATGATATACGCGAAATCATACGGGAAGAGTGGGCCTCTGCTGACACAGCCGTGAGAGAAACAGGAGTTTAGGATTCATTCCTTTTAACGCTTCGGCAATTGCGTTGGCGGTGGCTTTTTTTTCCCAGGGAGATCCTATTTATTCACTTCAACGCCACCTTGGACATTGTATGAGCACGACGACCTCATGAATATCTTTATCTCAGCCTCGATTTATTCTGAGTGTGTTCATACTCTTGAAATTATTGCACGCTGTGAAATTTTATTTAATTTATCATTGAGGTAAAAATTTATTTAAGGCCCGGTTGGACTATATTTCGAACGTTATCTCGATTGTTTTTCCATCTTTATAATCTAAACTGTATGACAATTTCCATTGGATTTTACATCACGCAGGAGTCCCTCAAAATTATTATTGTACAATAAAAAAAAGTAGAAAAGAGCGTTTTTCAAAGAGCGTTTTTAATAAAGATTAAGAAATAGGTCCGATAAAGAGGAAATAGCGAATGGATAATTTATCATAGTAACTAACGATCTGACAGCTATTAGATACGTCAAATTACAGCAAATTGTAATTTGCAATTTCCTCCCTATTGCGTTTATTTCCCAATATTATTCAAAACCGCTCTTCGAAAATGTTCAGCTTTTTTTCAATGTTTTTTTGATTGTACAATCATAATTTTTGGAGACTCCAAGGCTATGCAAAACTGAATACCAATTAGAGATCATTTCAGATTATTCAAATAAAAAAAACAACAACCAAGATTATGTTCAAAAGATAATCCACCCGGGCCTTAATAAATAAATTAATTAAATGTGTTATGGGTAAAAAAGTCGAGACGTTTCGTTTTTTTTTTTATAAATGCAGTTTTAATCACAAGTTAAATAGAAAAATAATGACTTCAGATTTATACAAAAAAAATTGTACGATGAAATCAGGGTGCGATCCGAGAACTCATGCTGTGGTATAATCAGTGAAATTCTCTAGGTCAATGAACGAACAAAAAATCTTCGAGGTCTAGGATATTTAGATCTAGTAATGTACAAGTACCCAGTCTCTGCTAAGTTTTTGAAATGACTTCAGCAGCAAGCCGGCGGCCTCTCGTGGATTCCGTGGGCAATTGATGAGTTTGCGAGGCTCTCCTCGCTGGATGGGGTCAGGGGGTACTCGGAGTCCGAGCTACCGAAGCCGGAACTCGGGGAATCCTGGACTCGAAGGTGTGGCGAGTCGGATTTTCCGTTACTTAATCTGGGGAAATGGGAATAGAGGGGGCGAATCGTCAGTTTAATGCAGTTGAACAAAAACATGAACTTCATACATCAGATGAAGTTGTTTATTGAGAGGATTTTTTTGTAGTCCTTGAAATTTCACAGGAAGAGTGCCCAGGAAATGCCTCTTGATGAATTTTCAAGAACTTTTTTACTATCAAGTTGATTACAAAATAATAAATTGGGTTTGATTGAGCTCATTTTTCGACTTCATTTATTCTAACAGATTATTTTGGAAATATTTCTGAAATCCGAAGGTTTAATGCAATTTTTTACAATATAATACAATATTTCAAAATTATTTTTAAAAAATTCGAAATCTCGAAAAATTTCTATTTTCAGATTATTTTAGATTCTTTCAGAAAAAATTTTCATCTGAAGGTCACCTCTGCTCTTTTTCAGATCATTCAAATATTTAAAACCATTAAAATAGAGAATCAAAGTTAAACCTTGAGAGTTCAGGTAATAAAAGTATTGCAAAATGTTCGGCAATGTACAGTGTTTATATTAAATTCAATTTTGTTGGGGAAACCCCATGAAATTTTCGTTTCGATTTTCCAAAAAAAACATTTGCAAATAATACCGCAATAATTTCTGTAATATGTTCATTCCCATTAACGTAAAAACATCGATAATCAATGTCATTCAAACGGTTTAAGCCAATTTACTCTTTCATTGAGTTTTCCAGAAATATTTCCGAATTTAAGGGAGACAGCTTAATTTTCATAACAACCTTTTTTTGTAGAGCGAATTGAATGCTACTAAAAAGGTTATGAGAAAATTTTAGCTGTCTCCCTTAGATTTCGTGATATTCATTGAAAACTGGCCAATAGCCAAAATCGACTTAAACCGTTTCACCACTTCGCTAGTGATGTAACTTTTAAGAAATTGGACCGCCGTAAGGCGGTCCATCAAACGCACAAGTTCGGTAAATTCAAATCAATTGTTTACCTTAAAAGTTCACAAGCAGTAGTCAAGAAGACTTTATCAATCCCCTCGTCATGCAACGCCGAAGCCTCATGATAAGAAGCACCAATAATTGTCGCATACTTTCTCCCCTCCTCGGGGTCAACAGTCCTCTCCTCAGCCAAATCGCACTTATTCCCTACAACCACAAGCACCAGGGGCTCCTCGATATTTCTCTTCAACTCATTCACCCAACTCTTTATCGCTGTGAACGTCTTATACTGTGTGATATCGAATACCAGCAGTGCTGCATTGGCGTTTCTGTAGTACATAGGTGCCATTGATCTGAATCTCTCCTGACCCGCCGTGTCCCACACTTGTAACTTCACCCTCGCATCCTGGAGGTTTATCCTACAGGTGAAGAAGGATGCGCCTATCGTTTGACTCGGCTTGTTCATGTCGTTCCCGGCGTATCTCGTTATCATACTTGTCTTTCCGACACCTTGAACACAAGATTTTACACAATGCATGAAAAAAAAGAAGTAGTTTGTTTTGTTTTATATCTTCGGAATAACGGAGTTTGAAGAAAAAGTTGAGAGGTTTTTTGACGGGAATTTTTATGGACTACTAAACGATTTTATGGCTGTTTTTCGTGGATAAGCTCCAACATTTTTGGCGAAATTTGCAGTATAATCCCTGGAAATTTTTAGCAAGTTATTGTTTCATGAAAACTTCAGGGAGACTTGTCATAGGAAATTCTCTGTCTCACTGTTGATTTCGGTTGAATAATTCCCTGGGAATTGATAAAAATTATAAAAATTTCACCTTCAATTACTAAAAGATTTTATTGCCTGTTTTTTTATGGTTTGCATACATTTGAACATTTTAACTGACATTTCCGGTACAATTCATGTAAATTTTCATCAAGTAACTGTTCCACTGAAATTTCAAGAAGATTTCGTGATTGAAAATTCATATTTCGTTGAAAACATCACTGGAAATTGATTGATTATTAATTTCAGTTCAATAATTCTATGAAAATTGATAAAAATCAGGAAAATTCCACCACCACGCAGGTAAAAATCCTTTCAAAATTTCAATTTATTAAAAATTTGCGTAATTTGGTAGTCTCATCTTCCTGCTGCTCAAAAATATGAATTTTCTCCATTCTTTCTGAATGGAATACAATCACCCCCGGAATTGAATTCAATGTCGCTCTACTGAGAATTATTTTTACTGAAAGTTGACTTCCTTTAAAAATATCAGTAACTAATTAAATTGTTAAATGATTTTTTCCCATTAAATGTGCGATTCTTTCCCTTTGAGATGAATCTTATATTGATAAATTTATTTCCGAGTTACGAAACTTGGGAAAAATGTCAAATGCATTTTTTTGCCCTGCCTTCCGCTATGCAGAATAGCGTTTATCAAATTCGATAGATTCCTCATCGGAAATTTCCAAAAAACTGAACAGCCACACCATGCTATTAACATAATTTGAATTTTGAAGGTTAAAGTCTAAAAAATCGCGAAAAATCAGAAAAGATAAATAAAAATTCTATGTCCGACATGAAAATGATCGTCAAATTTAAACTTTTGTAATAAACAGTTTGCGTTTCTGCGTGTGCGAAATGGCGTGTTACATCGAAAAACCCAAGTGAAACGAGAGACTATCGTTTAAAAAAATAACCGAAGAAAGAATTTGACGGATCAATTTCTCCCACTCATCACAGCCAGAATTCACGAGAAAAATTATCAATGACGACTAATTTCTTTTAGGCTTTTGAATTAATTTTTCCGCGTTTTACTTAACGACTCGATCGGAATGTAGTCACACTACTTTAACGGGGACATTGCCGGAATTCCCATCAATATTAAATTTATGTAATATTCCAAGAATTTGACCCTTACATTAACGAAGGTTTAAAATGTTGGTCTAATTTTTCAAATAATATAATATTAATGATCTGATTTTTTTCGCATAATGATGTATTTAAAATTTGTTAATATGAAACGGTAAATTAATTACTGAATGAATAATTCAAATTTCTTAAAAGGAGATTTTTGATTGCACAAATAATCATCAATCTTCCTACCTCAATTATTGATTGATAAAATCGTTAAAAATTTGAATATTTGAATTGATGATACTTAAGTACTAAAAAAATTCCAAGAGTGATTTTATCTAATTGATGGCTACAATATTTAACCGTAATAAAATATTACAAATTTGGCAATCCCCGATCTCCTTAACTGAGACATTGTCCGTAATCTCGAAAATCCATAAACTCGCCAATAAAATCAAATAAATGCTAAAAAGTTCTATTCCCCGCTCCCAGCTGACGCACACCTCGAGATAGCATGAAGACCATGAATAATCAGGAAGTAATCGCAACAATAATACTGTGTCACCGAGTAGTGAGTCAAAACCCCCGCGCGATAAGGACCGGCGCAGTCGCGAGGGACTTTCCCGCGTCAATGCCTCTCGAATCATATCTATCTCCTCAAAACAACGAATAAGCTGATCGCACGACTATTGCAACCGTCAATGATAATCCGAGGGCCAAATTACAGTCCTTGATAAGAGGTGTTTCAATTAATCGTCATTCCACCTCAGGTTCCTGCCTACGAATGTTAAAATTAATTCAACGGCTGTTGTCAAATGTCTTGGGAGATGATCCAGGATTATCTCGCAACAGTCGTTGGCCCCTTGCGATAACGCCCGGGCACCAACGTCTCTCTTCCAAATATCTCACGCAGGAATTCGTTACAGGTTATGTAATTACGTTGATTACCGTTAACGCGAGACGATATTTCTGGAATTAATAACTGGAAAAATAAATTATCGGGTATGCACTCACCCTGCGAGCCCAGGACGACGACTTTGCCCTCCAGATTCCTCATGATTTCCCCCTCGAAGTGTCAATAAACATAGTCCATCGATTACTCCGAAGTAATGACTCTCTGAGACTCGGGGGTTATTCCTCGTCTATATTCTCGTTTGCAGTTGGGGAATTGTTCTAGCGCACGTTTGCTCTCGGTCCTCGCCACATTTGGAGTATCACGGCTCCATTGTTGATGCCAGCGCAGTGGTAATGGTAACCTTGCGATCATTGACAGACACAAGGTGGAATAATGAGCACAGTGCGGGGGGGGATTGTGGACTGTCAACAGAATGAGAAAAACCTGAGGTTGTGGTTATGCTGACCTCTTGTGGAGGATTGTGGACGTGTGGAGGGTGAGGATCGTGTCGGTAGATTACCAACTGTGAGTTAGAGATTCTGCTTTTCATGAGAGGAGAAATGGAAATTGAAGTGATTCACTTTATGATATTTTGCTTTCGAATGGAAGTATTGTAGTCGTTAAATCCGAGATTTCCTATTTTTCGTGGCAGGATAACTAATTTTGAACGCAGGAGTTCGATTATGATGTTTTTGTGATATCTGCCTCAAAAGTGCACTTTTCGAAACGGTTTAGTGTGCGTAAAGCAGTTGTTTTCCACACGGCGTGCGGAAAGTGAATTCTCGACGCTTTACGCACTCGAAATTCACTTTACACACGGTCTTGAACTTTACGGACTCTTGCAGAACAACAAGCGCATTATCCTCTACTTTACGCATTAGTAACGCAATATACAATTTCATCGCTTGTGCGTAAAGTGAAATTTTACGCGCGCCAAATCTCACGTTACGCACAAGTGATGAAATAGCTGTTTTCGTCACACGGCCGAAAAAAACGTTTTGGACGAGCACTCGCCTTCGGCCAGCGCTACACACCTCTGACGGATCAAATAGTATATTATGTCATTAGGCGATAAAAGTATTATCTGGCGAATGCGATTATAATGCTTTTATCGCCGTGTGATATACGCTATTTTATGTCGTTGGGCCCGAAAACCGCGATTCTAACCTTGCTTCGCTCGGTCGCGATCTAACCGAGCGAAGCGAGGTTAGAATCGCGGTTTTCGGGCCCAATAACATAAAAACACTTTTACGGACTCATATCGAAACATACTATTTTAAACCATGTCCGGATATGTGTCGGTATGTACTAGAACTCCAGAATTTTTTACGTGCTGCCCCCTCAAAAGCCTCGAAACACATTTTAAAAAATCCTCTCAAAATTTTAGCTCTCCATCTCAATTTTAAAACGCCCCCCAAAGAGTCTTGCTTTAGAAAATTCGAATCTATTTCCCCCTCCTCCTGTTATGTCGCTAAAAATTTCACAATCATGGGAAATTACTGAGTAAATGAACTACTTTTAACGGAAATTTTTCGTTTTTCATTCACATCTACAATAGTGCAATTATTCTTATGGGAAAACTTGTATTATTCTTTTGATAAACGAATATTCTCGTGTTATTCTTACGGGAAAAAACGAGAGCTGAAATTTTAAGAGGATTTTTCAAACTTTATTCCGCCTCTTTTTTTATAATTTAATAGCCCTTTTCAGGTCAAAATAAACATTTCCCCTTAAATAAAAAAAAAAAAATCTCTTCGTATTCTCATTATTTCATGATTTTATTGACAACTCTATTGCTTCACGCCATGAATTTCAAAACCGTCAATGACAGATTTATAATTCAAAATATGATTTCAGATACAGATTCGCAATCAATAAAAAAGTAACGACCGGAAAAAATCCGAGTATAAATAAATAAACTCATTCATTCTTACCAATTGATACTTAAAATTCCGAGATTATGAATTAGACTTTGGCGTTGATATCGCGGTGGGAATGATAATGTATCCCTTAATCACATTTTTAATCACCAGTAATGAAATAGTTTCACAATCGTTATCAAGTTAAGCCCCCGAACCTGTCGACATAATCTGGAATGAAAATCCAGAAAATCGCAATGACGGAGACGATTAACACTTCATCATCGATAAATAATTCCCCCCCCCCCCCCCCC